TTTTTTTTTATATATATATTAATAATTCCTTCAAAAAAAAAATTCAGAGCAGTCCAACAAACACTTAGACACTTGAATAGAATAGAATAGTTTTTTGTCTTTTCTACTTGATTTGAGTGTCAACCAGAATATTCATTTGATAATAATTTCAATATGGTTGAAAGTCCAAGATTAACTTTAAAACTTTAAATTTTAATGGGTTTATTTTTTATAAAATATAATATAATGTTTAATGTTTGAAACTTTTCTTTGTTATCGACCATCTAATTTCACATTGATTTTGTTGAGTATGCATATATACAGTACGTTTTTTTTTTAATAAAAAAGGAAATATTCAAAAAATTAATTTGAATATTTGAAAATAAAAATGTGAAAATAAATATGATATTACCTAAAAATATTATTTTTCACACAGATTATGTTTATTTTTTATAATATGTTGTATATATAAACTTTTTTTGTACTTTTTAATGTTTGATTGTTCTAGGATAGTATAGAATAGAATAGAATAGAATAGAATAGAATAGAATAGAATAGAATAGAATAGAATAGTCTAGAATAGAATAGTCCGGACACAGTGGGATGGAATGTAACACTTGGTATTGGTTGCTCTTTTTACTGCAGATCTGGAGAGGATGACGGGGTTGAAGGAGCCAAGAAGGATCGGAGCTGTGGTCCACAGTACCAGAGCACCACCGTTCGTGTGCTCACACACTTTGAGGCACAGCCAGAGGAATGGCAGGGCCAGCCAGACTTCCTCTTGGGCAGTGATTGGCAGGTGGACGTGACAGAGTTGGTGGGAGACTCTTTAAGGGTGGCAGATGAACGCGTGGCCAAGCTGTCAGAAGAACAGGTCCTCATCGGTCTGAACACTGGCATCACCAAGGTTCAGGTGAGAAACAGGAAGAATGTATGCGTGATTATGTCTAAAAATGACGTGATGTACTATAAAAAAAAATGTGTGTGAATATCTTCACATAAAATGAAGGCCACGGCTGCATTACTACAATAATCTACTAAATCTATGGATTTCCAGCATTATAAAACCTTTTTCCATGATTCGTTGTTCTAGCATATTATGCAATTTCCTCAACACACCACAACCAGAGCTGCCCATTCTGTCAGGAACAAAACTGACAGTTACAGCTGACTAAGCCGCATTTCCCTTGTTTATACTGCATGAATAAAATGTGAGAACGTCCTTGTTTTCTTTGGAAAATCCTGGCTGTCATTTGTCTATTTCTCTGTGCGGATGAGAGGTGAATCAGTCCGAGTTGTGATGTGACACATCAGACGAGAACTAGACAGCACACCATCTCTCACTCTGCTCTGTCACAGCTTGTGTACTGTTTGTCTGCACATCTCACAGCTCTTATGACAAATGATAATTTCCTTTACGAAGACCTAATTAAGGGTCAGTCTGTGAAAATCACACATTTTTTCTTACACGTCACCTACACGTTCACACATAAATACACCTGCTCGACAAGCTGAAAGTGCCATTAGAGTGCTATCTGACAGCAATAGTATACGCCAAAGCCACAGGTGGAGAGCACTTCGATTTGATCCATTTGCTGAAAATTAAAATCAGATAAAAAGCCCAGTAATGGTGGGATGGAATACGTAGAGTCTGAAAACCAGTGCTGCTTTATAGATCGAGATCCCTGAAATCAAAAACCCACCACTTAACCACGGCCAAATTACCAATCGTCCAAGTGAAAAAAGGGGCCCACCTGTTTTTGCAGTTCATTAAAACTAAATTGAATGACTAATTACTTGGAATTAGAAGAAGGAAAATGTGTGGTTTCAAAAACAAAGTAGACTATTTGGAATAAAAATCTGAAGTAGTGTAGCTAGCACAAACTTCTGTTTTATAGATCTATTTATAAAAAGTGGAGCACTGGGGCAGCATCTTACGCAATATTGGGTAATGCCCGAGGCTCCCCTTGCTTATTCTTATTTTATGTCTAATTAATAAATCTCTCAATTCAAATGGCAAATTAGGATGCGCTCGAAATAAGAGCGGAATATAAAAACAGAATACGAATAGTTTCTTTACCTTAACATGGCTGCATTTTAGAGTGGAAAAACTGTTGCCTGTGGACTTCCAGACAGTGTGCAAATGATGGTTAGAAGCAAGTGCGGGCCGTGCACACTGGTGAAAGTAGAAGTTCCACTTACAGACAAGAAGTAAATGGCTTCTGACACTTCATTATAACATAATGAATGTAGAAATATGGAGGTGGCTGCTTTGCTATTAATTGATCCAGATAGGAAGTCTACTCATCACGTTTCATATCGAAGTAATTTCCTTGCCTGTGTGTCAGATATCACCATATGGCCGAGGGCGGACAGCTGTCATTTAGATTTTTGACATTGCATGTAGCCTACTCATTTTTTCATGTCACTAAGTTTGTATGAGAGAGAATTTTCAGTTGTTTTAGTGTTATGTAACAGAAGCATACCTGTCTGCGTTTTTATCCAGGTGATGTCCCCATTGTCAGACTCTGTTCTGGCTGAGAGGATGATCCGGGTTCTGGATGATAAAGTCAGTATTACAGAGCTGGGCGTGCAGCTGGTTTCTGGCCTTTCCTTGAACCTTCAACTCAGCCCAGGAAGCAACAGGGCCATTGTGGCCACGGCTACCACACAGGAGACAATGCACAGTGCTAATTTGGTAGTCTAATTAAACTCTTTGCAATCAATAAAAATATATATGTTATAATATTAATGTTTATTATTGTTGTTGTTGTTTTTAATTATTATTTAATTATTATTTTCAGTTATTGTTTTTTTTGTTATTATTAATTAGAATAATACATATTTTTCAGAATTATTTTTTTATTATTATTATTATTATTATTATCAATTTCATTCATATTCTGTTCATGTTTAATTAATATTATCAATCATATTTTTATATCGCCAATCTTTTTTTCTTTTCTTTTTTGTAGTGTAGTGTAGTGTAGTGTACAGGGTAGCCCGTCCACTGTGAAATCTCATTGAAAATTTCAGCCCCATGCAGTTAAATTGCGAATAATTTCTGGTTCTCAGGTCACAGTTTTGCATACTTCTGTGTCCGTTTCTCAGAAATGTAGGGTTGTTTTATCCATGAGCAGGTGCAATCACTATAATCACAGTCATTATGGACAAAGTCGTTTGACATGGGCTGCATGTTGATGAGTAGCTGCGGTTTGTTAGTGGATCATGCTGCTCAGGGCTGCCCACTTATTCTTAGTCATCTCACATTTAAAACCCTTCCTGATTAGTCTGATTTCACTAATCCTTCGCATCGGCAGGGGTTTCCTCTCTTCTCTACGTTGATAGACATAAAATGGGCAGATTGGTTGAATCTCCCGCTGATCAGTGCGTCTTCACTCTTTGAAATGTGGTTTTGGGAACTTTTAAAGCTTTTGAACGGTCCTGCAATGGGGTTAAGAATCATGCATACTTGATGCAAGAAAATTAGCATTACCTGATAGCATCTATTCATGTTGTGTTTTCCTTTCAGGAGTCCCTTGTCAGTGCTTGGCTTCAGTTCAGCGATGGCTCCATGACCCCTCTTGACCTCTATAACCCTGCACATTTTGTCCTTACGGCCACCTCGTTGGATGACCAGGTGGTGACAGTAAAGAAAAGCACCAACTGGAGGTGGCCAGTGGTGGTGGCTAAGGGTGAAGGTCAAGGCATGTTGGTTCGTTTGGAGATGTATGGACCTGAATCATGCCAAAAAACCAAGCGGCGCACAGTTCTGGCCGCAGGCAACGCAAACGTCCATGTGAAATTTGGGCGTGATGAAGAAACAGGAAACAGCTCAAGCGACAGGAGGTACAGGCCCAATGCCCCATACTACGGTGGTTCGATTTCAGACATGGAGGCTGGAATCATGAACCGAGGCGCTACCACCATTAAAACCTCCATTCCAGGGAAAGCAAGCGGCGACAGGCTCTCAGCTGGTGATATTCCAATGGATTTCTCCGAATTCCCAGCTCAAGCAGACCTTCCACCTGGACGTAACATGGAGGATGACCTGCTGCAGACTCGCCGCGGGCTTTCAGACCTGGAAATAGGCATGTACGCCCTGCTAGGTGTCTTCTGCCTGGCCATCCTGGTATTCCTAATCAATTGTGTCTCCTACGCCCTCAAGTATCGCAACAAGCAGCTCCCACTGGAGGGCCAGGAGACCATGGCTCATGCCCACGACTGGGTTTGGTTAGGCCATGACACTGAGCTTTTAGAAAGTCAGGCGGGTTTATGTCTGGATCAAGAGGAGTTGGGTGGCACCATGGACTCCGGGCTGGGCCTGGAGGAAGGTAGCCAGCTCCTCAATGGCCTTTCCTCTCAGAAGAGTGTTCAAGGCCAAGTCCACAGGTCGGCCTCTGACTCAGGTTGCGCTGGGAGAGATCACAAGAGCGAGTCCATAAACTCACCCACTACCAAAAGGAAGCGGGTCAAGTTCACCACTTTCAGCCATAGCAAGCCCAGCAATGGCTGCCCATCCATAAGCCCGCTTCTCATTGGTCAGAACGACATCAAATGGGTATGCCCAGACATCGAGCTTGGGGACTCCAAAGAGCTCCGAAATTACATGGAAAGGTTAAACGAAAATGCTACTAAGAACATTGCATAGAGGGCTTGTAGTTATGTATTTTTCAGACAAAAGCGTAGCTCACCCATATGCCTTCTAGGTAAGGAGGTGGTGGTGGTGGAGTGGAGGGTGGATGGGTTGGCCTGACTCTTCTACACTCAGACAAACTCACATCTCACCGTGAAAAGACAAGCCATTCATCTGGTCTTGTTTCCATGGCAACTGTCATGAGGGTTCATCATCAGGAACGAAGGAAAACAGAGATGGTTGTGAAACCGCTGAGGATGTGAGAACATTGGATTATGAGAAATGTTTCAATTGAGATGTCTATATTTTCTTTTTTCAAAGAAGAGGATATTCCAATTCTATATTCAAAATATATATACTTGTGTTTTTTTTTTATTATTATTTTGTCACACTAAAGCCTGGTTGGTGGTGGTCCCTTTTTATGAGTTAATATCTCAAAAAGCTGACATTTAAACATATCAGTTGCGTGCTGGAAAACGATGCATTTCCACAAATTGAACATTGACAGGCTCCGACGATGAGTGAGAATACATTTTGTAAGGTTTTAGATATTTTTATACATCTCTGTTCCTGTCCGTGTTAGTGCGTCTAATTTATTTCTCCAAAGACTCACTCACATATGTAAAAGCATGTGAATTCAAAGTATAGACGAAAAAATGTCTATTTTGGAACTTTTTCCACTAACAGTTTGAATGAACATGTATATACTGCAGAAGACTTCTGGTAAAACAGGAAGATAAATGACCCTCCTCGTCTCTTTGAGAGCTGTTGAGCAAATTGTATTGTTGTAGGTAGTGTTATCAATATTGTATAATATGTTGTTTACAGTATTAGAATGATAGATGGTATGCACTCCAGTTGCTTGTGTATGTGTACTATTGCGTTTTGTTTTCTTTTTTCGTTTCATTTTGCTTTGCTTTTTTTTCCCATTCTCCTTACTTTTTCCCCTTACAGTGATTGCAGTATATGACAAGAGATATCCAACCTACCCAAATGACTGTTCCTCTGAGTAGCCTAATAATTAGGTTATAGTTAATTGGATTGGATGAGTTTGGGGGTGCAATCCTCAGGTAATGTGATCGATGCAGCAGAGAGATGTGAATACTTTAGTAAGAAAATCACAGAACAGTTTATATGTGAATAAATTGATTAGTCAAACTATCTATTTTAGTTGACCATTTTTTAAAGAACTTAATCAATACTCAATTACCCTAACAATTTATTTCATAAACCATTCTCTCTAAGATGTGTGTGCCGACTAATTCCTCTTCCAGGAGTGTTGGCATGAGATCTGGTGTCCATTAAAAAAAAAAAAAAAAGGCCAACTGGATCATACAAATGTCTTATTTAAGAATGTATTAATTAGAATAAAGTCTAATTAATAGTATACATTATATTAATTAATTCTCTCCCATGTTCCCTGCTTGTCTTGTATTTTATGACACGGAAACATATTCTTGAAGACCACTGAAGAATAATTGTACATGAGGTAGTTCATCCATTGTCAGAATTGACAAGCCAATACTCTTGAAAAAATATTCCCCTTATATGCGATGATTCACTGTTTATGTAGCATTTTATTATTTTTTCCAATGCAAAGTGTCTAAGAATTTAGTTTCATTTTTTATTTAATTGTATTCTGTTCTGTGAGCTAAAAGCATTTCCTTTTACCATAACAACATGAAAAACATTTTTTTATTTATGCATTACATCACTGGGTTTTCGGTTTTCATATTAAAGCATCACATCCTGCTGTTCCACGTTTTACCAGTTGATGGCGCTGAATTCTAACCCCAGTTGACTCAAAGGGGACATGCAGATTTTGATGGTCATTCTCCTTGACAGGCGCATGACCCAAGTCTCCAAATAAAGGTTACTGCTGAACTATTGCAAGTGTGCAAGTACAATGTTGCGACTCAACCTTACTGCATATAATAAATGTTCCCAAAAGCAGACTGTGATTTCACCCCATTGTACTGCAGTAAACAACAGGCTTTAAAGAGAAGTGTGTTGTTGCGGCATCTGAGCACCGTGTAATTCAAAGGTTATTGCAGACACAATAGGTCTGGATGTGAGATATAGTCCATTTCTTCGGTCCTGCACATTAAAGGCTCATTAGTGCTAAACTATACAGACAGGATAGTGCTGGATGGTGCTGCTCCCTCCTCTGTGAGACAGGCCAGACTAATTAATGATCAGCTTGGTGAGGCTTTACTCCATGTTAATGTGACATTACCATGCGCTAAATGATTGTATTCATTTAACTGACAGTGATCTGACAATTAACACCTTCCTCATCACATGTGATAAAGCAGCATAGCTCTGCCCCATCCATCTCGGCAAACGTTTGACCTGCCACTTGGGTACGTTTTTGACACGTGTATTTCCAGAGAATGTTTCATACCTTATTGATATTTCCCTACAAGTCCTGTTAATTTATCTTTCATTATGATAACTAGAACGTAAACAAATTAAAGGACGACCACGTCAACACAACAAAGAGCCGTGAATGGTTTTCCAAAGGCACACAACTTTATCCAAGGTGGCGACTGAAACAATACAAGTTCATTAGCGGAAATCTTACACGCGTACATGCGCGCGCGCGTAATATCGTTCCCGGCGGGACGAGTCTTTTTAAGATCCAAATTGAGAGGCTGCACACTTAACCCTCAGAGGGATGCTTCTGGAATTGGGTATGTTTTTCCTTTTATCTCAGCTGATATTTTGGTATTTGGGTCTCTGTTCTCCGCGTCTCGGAGGAATTACGCGAGAACACTCTAAATTAAATCATGACATTAGCTAGTGTCCGTCAGGAGTGTATATTAATACAGCTAATGTCATAGGCTGGTTATTATCTGCATGATAAGTTTTCTTTTCTCGAGTTCTCCAGATTTGATAAAACAAAGGGTGAGAAAAAAAGACCTCTCAACCTCCCATTAGCTGAGTTTTCACGAAGAGCATCTTGCTGTAATCTTGCCTTCTGCTAGTTAACAACGTTGGCGTTGCTGTAAATGTCAACAGAGTTGTCAGAATAATGCCAGCACTGCTCTCACAACAGATGAAGACGGACGGCCAGACATTCCGTACAAATATATATGCTGTCTAAAAACGAAAACAGTCATGTAAAATACACAAAATAGACTTCATTTCCCACTAACCGGTCTATAACTTTATAATAAACCTTTCGAGACTCAGCATAAATGTCCGTCAATGCCAATTTATGAACTATCAATCATGGTGGGACTGTGGACGTTGTTGCACTGGTGATTTTCACACAGATAAGCGTCCATGACATGAACATTGGCTTTTACTAGAACTGGCAGCGCATTTGGATGTTTTCCGTGTCTACGGGTATAACAACAAACCGTCTCTGGCCTGCTTTTATCTACTGTTCAAAGAGGAGCTTCTCACTGTTCGACTTCTAGTAACAGCGTGACAGATATAGTAAAGGAGCTGATAGAAGCAAAGTATACAGGAGACAAGATTCTATTAAATCTTGTTTCACTATTAAAGCTAAACCAATACTGCAGCCATATCTCTGTCAGCAATATCTTTCCGAGATTGAACATTGGTTTTATCATTGTTGTTTTTTTCTGGATAGTTGTACCAGTGCGTTAGGTTTAACAATGCAGTTCCTTCATATGGATGTCTCTTGTTCTTTAAGAGAAGACATTTGCTTGAATTGGTGTGAACGCTGAAAAGGGATTATGTGATAATCAGAGCTGTGCAGTAGTACGATTTCAGCCATTAAGTTGCATTATCTGCTTAGACACCAACAGGCAGTGGCCCAGAGAATTGTTTGTACACTTAAGCCGCACTTAAAGATGTATGAATTTTTATGCCAAGTGCTTAAAGACAAGTCCAAATATTCTCTTCTTTTTTGACTGTAAATATACTGTTTTATAATTGAAACCCAACAAACAGATGTCTTATGAAATATTTTGCTTGAAAATGTGCTTATGTTATCTTTCTTTAAAATCATTTAGGTTTTCATGTTTTGCGTTCCAGACATGAGTGTATTAGTGCTCCATATCTTTTTTTCTGCAGGTTACATTAAACCAGCAAGTGGCGAAAAGTGACTGTCTTTGTGAGTGAGTCATTTGAATCATTTGTGCAACCAATTAATTCAAAACGCTGATTCATTTAGGACATGAAATAAGGGTGCTTCTCAAATGGAAGGCTGCATCCTAGTGTTGTCTCGCATGACATAGTAAAATCGAACAATCTCAGTGTTGATTCATTTTCAGCTAATTAATTTTTTGGGGAATTGGAGTCTGAAAAGATTCAAATCAAAAGATTGTGGGCGATTGAAGGACGCAAATGATACACCTGATGCATCCTTCAATGCAGGCCAGATGAAGGGCGCGAAACAAAGACTGCATGGCTACTAAGGATCCTTCAAACTGAGACATCCTTCAACTGAGCTTTATGATGTAGCAGCCTAGATATACAGCCTTATAAGTATGCATCCTTGCATTTGAGAAGCACCCTAAGTTGACCAGCTTTATGAGTATCATTGAATCATTTGTTGAACTGATTCATTTACCGATTCATTTAATAATTTAGGAATGAAACACCACTACTCTGTTTCTACTGTTTTGGTTCAGCTCTCATTTTAATATCACAGCAATATCACACTCGTCATCGTGCTGTTGGTTTGAATTTGCTAGTCTGAAATTCAACAGAACACAACAGACATGAAAATAAGACATCCTACCATGCATTGATAAATAGCAAATGCAGGCAAAATGAAAGAACAGTTTACATGCGCAACAGATCACGTAGGGAATACGAATAAAGCCCTCCTGCCAGGGTGGTATGGCCCCTGGCAGAATATTAAATCAATGATTTCTCTATTCAATGCCTAGAGACCATACATATTTATATTGAGTGTGGGAGGATTGTTTGAACACACTGCATCTGCAATCGAATTATCGGAGCAAGAAATAAGTCTCCAGTACATACTGTCTGCAGAGCAATTATTTTGAAGCAACATAAATTGTTAGCGCACCTATATGCAGAGGCCTGTGGCAGAAGAAGGTGGCTCGGTATTTAATGAACCACACTAACAAATCTGATTATCTGTGTCACTGTTACTCTGCTTCATAACCGTACCTCAGGCCTGGCCAATAAATCACATCACTGTCTTCTGGCAACACAAAGAAGCTCACTTTGAGAAGCTGTAAAAACTGAAGCCATTAGCATTCGACTCAATACATCCTCTTATTTCTTTCTGTCTGCCTTTTATGTCAGCGTTGGGGTCTAAATGAAA